GAGCGAGGAAACCAATCACAGAACAAGCTCAGGGCGGACACATGGGGGAGGAGGAGGGGCGACATGTGGGGGGAGGAGGAGGGCCGCATGTTCTCTTCATGGATTCTATCACTGATCAATACGTCTAATCACAGTCACATGATGAGATATTAGAAGCTGGTGTGAGATAAGCTGCTGAGGTTCAATCAGACTGTTTGTGGTCGCGGCGAAGGCGGAGCATCCACTCACCACCTCAGGAGACGGCCTGAAGGTGGAGCCAAAGATTCAGGAGCGTGTTCTCATCAGCTGCTCATGAAGGCCGGACTGTACGAGCCTACAGACGAACTTTGACCCTTGATTCTAAAGCAAAAGCGTCGACTCAGGGTCTCCTGCTGCTTCCTGTTCAGCCCTCAGTGGTAAGCTGTCCTCTGTTGTGTTGGTTGGTGACGAAGGTCACCTGAGCAGCTGTCTGGGATTCATGCGACTGTCGGTGTTAACGCTGGGCGATGAGCGATACCTCAGGACTCTCCACACTTCTGATTGGCCAGGAGCTTCCCCACAGCAGCAGTTCTTCTTCTTTAGTTTTCCTGCAGGTACTGAACCGAAAAGACCTCCAGCTGAGTCTCCAGCTCGGTGGCTCTGTTCCTGAACAAATGAAAACGAGATTTTAAGACATGCAGCTTCTGCTGAGTTTTAACAGGACCTGGAAGTGCGTGGGGTGTGTTTATGGACGCTGTAATGTTGTAAGTAAACGCTGCACAGAAACAACGATTTTTAAACCTTATTTTGACCCGAAGCTGCCAAACGTGAAAACATTAACATGTTATAGTTTAAAACTGATGTTTGTATTATTGTTACAGTTTCTGTGTTTTATTCTGAAAAGTCGTGTTCATGCTCTGTCCCTTCCTTCCTGTCGCTGGTTCTCAGGTGAGAGTGAGAAAACGCGCAGCAGCTGATCCGGTTAAACGAAAGCTAAATCACAGCAGCGTTCCCGAGTCCTGGAGTGGTGACGGCTTCCTGTCCTGTTGTTAGTTCGGGACGATTTCCTGTCATTTTTTCAGATCAGCTGACAGGAAACCACGGCGCTTCTCATTCTGAGGGTTTTAATGTGTTCAAGTCAGGCCGCCGAGGACGCCCAATAACAAAATCAAACAGCCAGCGCGTTTTCATCCACAGCTTCCTGCTTCAGAGATTAACGGTTCACAAACGTCATCCACGCGATGATGAGGAGTGTGAACCTTCGTCCTGCTGCTTCTCCTGAGTCCTGCTCGTCTTCACGTCTGTACGGTTCTGATGTAAATGACTGTACGGACAGTAATCACATGTAAC